TGGATCTCGTGGGATGAATTGCGGGCGTATGGGGAGGAGCAAATCAAGGCTGGTGACGGGTTCGAGGGAAGGAGGTTCTTTTCGCCTCTTTTGGGATTATTTGAACAACGTCCGGATTTTCGGGTTTGAATATTCAGCACATAGGCCGAAATTGCAATTAAACAAACGCTCTGTATAAATTATATCTGATAACCCGGATGCTGTAATCAAAGCCTCATGATTCATTCTCTCACCCTGATCCTTCCAATGGAGACAACCTTGAAGCTTCGTTAAGATCCAAGTCAAACTAAGGAGCATGCGAGCCAGAATTCTCATCGGCAGTCCGCTGAATCCTCACTCGCATGACAAAACTCGAAAAGTATGATCGCACTGCCTCTTGTAGCCATAGTGGGAAGGCCCTCAGCGACCCAATCACCGAGGAATGTCTAGGCAGGACGGTTAGCCCACTTTTCCGATTAACAAGGTGCTCCACCACTGCCTGCGAGACGTCCTTTGGATCCAGGAGTGGTTGATCGAAAGCAGCTTGATATTTAGTGAAGCCTTCGATCATGGGAGTCTGGACCCAAAGGGGGTGAATGGTACTAGGTGTGGTCAGCATAATTTCTCTTTGAATAAGACTTTCCCAGACTGACCTCGTCCGCACATTCGGAGCTTTGTACCAATATTTCAACTCTTGCCGAAGGCCTTCCTGGAAAGCAAGAGCGGCAGCCTTAGAACAAGCATAGTCCACCATCTCGCCTAGAGTAACAAAGCTCGCAACGCTCGCTACTGTAAGAACATGGCCACGGTTCATACGGATCATGAACGGAAGGAATTCTTTTATGATGAGGAAATGAGAGATGATGTTGACATCGAATGCCTGACGCAATTGCTCCTCTGGCAAATCTAGAATGGTATCATGATGGAAAATAGCAGCATTGTTCACAATAACAGTTGGCTCTCCGTGTGCCTTTCGAATAGCAGCGCCCGTTTCGGAAAGAGATTTGGCCGATGTCACATCTGTTTGATAGAATGTGACGTTTTCTGGAAGCTCAAAGGTAGGCCGGGTGATATCGAGGATCACAACGCGTACTTTATTGCGAGAAAGATCTTCCATTATCTCTCTGCCGATGCCACCACTGCCGCCAGTCAAGAGGACCAGCTCATTCTCTGGGATCCATGTCTCGCTGGCTTGGAAGTTGTTTATGACTCGCTCGGAGATCTTTGTGTTGAGGTAGTAAAGACCTACAGAGCTAACTAACACACTCAGCGAAGATTTGATGATCGGTGTATCCAAGAGACTAAACATGGTGTCAAGGGAGAGTTCCGATAGTCACACACAAAGTCTGAGTAGTCCTGTAAAGGTCCAAGAATGAGAAAAAAAATGAAAGTCAATCTCGGGCAATTTGAATTCTGCAGCTGGCCCATTTATATTGGAGGAGGGGAAAGGGCGGCTATTTTAACCCAAGATCAACAGGAATTTCTGCGCTTGTGTTGCACAGGCCTTTGGTTCCCGGGTGTGGCTGGCTGACTTTTTTAGCCAATCCGAGTAAGAAAGGAGCATTTCGCTGAGAATACCGAGGTTGTCATCGCTTCTTCGAGGCACATGTTCATGAAGAGGGTCTAAAATAATGAAGATCCGATGCAACACGGAGTCAAAAGGGGAAAGATCCTTGCAAGCCAAGCTATGAGTAAAGATGAAGGACGAATACATGATCTTATCATGCCCCACAGGGCTGATAAACTTCAATGGCTCTCGTGTTCTGCGGCCTATTGTACTGGACTTGAAATCGTGGCCAACAAATGATATTTTATTATGGGAGCCACTTGAGGCGTCTCGGTACCACTCCTAAACTAACTAGATCTTACGGTTGAGATAATTTGCAAAGATAACAGGCACTACGACATTGGCCTGACTAGAGTGAAGGTCGTCGGCCTCGTGGAAAGAATTTGGAAGCCTTGCCTCAGGTCCTGTTTGATTTTCGAGACTAGGCGGGTTCGCTTTCCAGATTGTATGTAAGATGTAAGAACGAGAGAGTCATGGTAGTCATAATGGATAGTGGGTATGTGTATATCAGGAAGATTCACGAGGGAGGATTCACTCTTTTATACCATACAACAAAGCAACGGAATTTGAGAGAATCTTGGGCTATAGTGAATTTGATAGAGGACCAGCTTCTCAAATACCTGCCAAGCTCAACACAGGAACTGGAAACACCTTGGCATTTGCTTGATTCCTTTCTTTATACTTGGAAAAGTGAAGAACAAGGAGCTTAATCAACTCGAGCCAAAAACCCAGTCAGATACAATAACAGCGATAGTTACGACCTGTACAAGTATCAGTCAATCTATGCACCAAGAGCCCTGAAGATTCGAATACGCACCAACGAGATATCTACTCCAGGCATTATAATGACATCCATAGCAGGTCGATACCCCTGTCTAGAGCCTCTCATCAAAGCCAGTTTCTCATTATGACGAATACTCTCCCGAATTTCAGCAACCTTCCCATCCCCATCAACGACATCAAAAAGCGCCAGCACATTCCCATGTCGTTCAATATTCAAGGTAAGCATTTTCTCATCCCCGCGCTTTCCCTCGAACGCAGCCGCATTTTCGAACGAAAGAGCAAAATTCCCAAACGAAGTATTCCCCAACGTCCATCGCGGAGTGCCAGTAGCTATCGTCGCAGTATCACAGCCGGGCAAGCTAATCGACCAACTATTCGTCCACGACAATTTCCGGTGTAGCTCGAAGAGCGGCAGACCCGAATCATCGCGAAACTCCCGACACGAGCGATCGGTGTACTTGCGACCAGTCACCGTGAACTGTGGTGTTCCATCCTCTTCGGTGATCTTATATGCGACGGCGGATTGGGGGCTGCCAAATGGTCTGAGCACGAGGGTTGTCTTTGAGCGCGCTATGTATTGGTTGCGGAAGGCAATATCGCGGTCTGGTGATCGGAGGGGTTTGCGGGGCTTAGAGGAGTATGCGCGCGATAATCGAGCGTCAGAGTAGGAGGTGTAGGACATGGTTGGTATGCAGTGTTTAATCGCAAGACGGACGCGCTGGGATTATGCGGGGCACCTCTTTATACTAGGGTTGGGTTGCATTGGTGTATCTTGCGCTACTTATCCCTGTTGCGGCATTTACTTCGGCGAATGCCCGATGATCTCACTGATTGCTGAGCCACCGGATGCCAAGAAACATACATGAAGCTATTCCCCTCGGGGCTTCAGCGGGGTAAGTGGAATGATGATTTGTGGCTACATCCGGTTTCGAACGACGCATTTATACCTAGCCACCTCTTATACCCCTCTCAGAGGCCAATGCTCCAAAAGTGAGAAACTCTGCATTCTCATATAAAAAACAACACCGGATGTACTGTCCAGGTGGGGGGCCCATATCTGCTGAGTCATGTTCCACGGCCTCCGGTCCAGGGCTGGCTGTTAGGCAACCACCTGAGTATCAACCGCCTGAGTATCATCACGATCGATACTGTTATACAAACATGGCTGGGAAATTCACTGTCAAATCTCTAGACCACCTGGTCCTTACAGTCCGCAGCATTCCCAAAACCGTGGCATTCTATACAACATATCTCGGCATGCGGCATGAGACCTTTACCTCACCAACTAACCAATCCGTTCAGAGGTAACCCCTCTTTTCTTTACAATCTTAGTGGATGTTAAAAGGCATTGACGATAATAGACATGCCCTCATCTTTGGCTCTCAGAAAATAAATCTCCACCAATCGGGCAAGGAATTCGAACCCAAGGCCCAAGATGTAATGCCGGGAAGTGCCGATCTGTGCTTCTTGACCGATGAGAATGTGGAAAAGGTCCTGGAAGTGTTTCAGGATGCCAGAGTTGAAGTATGAATACTCGGCTTTTTCGCATGCAGATGGAGACTGATCTCTACAGGTTCTCGAAGGTGCCAAGATTGTAGAAAGAACCGGGGCCGTTGGGAAGATGCGCAGTGTATACGTGAGAGATCCTGATGGAAATCTTATCGAGTGAGCGTTTCCCCTTTTCTCTTGGAGTACGCAGTTGACTAAAACCAGCGGCAGAGTGTCGAACTATGTTTGATTTATCGGAAAACCGGCTGTGCCGAGACAATGTGATAGCTATTCTCACAGCGAGAACTGCGTTGTGGGCCTGTTTTACTTGCTGGTGTAAATGGACCTGAGTCTATGAAAGTAGAATGACTTGGGCCAGACATTGCGGCGACTTATTATAAGACCGTTGTTAGGGTTGAAGGGAAAGAACATCATACATAGGCAAGTGTCTCCCTTCAACTTAATTCTTACAATCTTCTATACAAATCGGAAACGCGAAATTCATTGATATTCTAATGCGCTCTTAATTTTGTTTCAAAAAAAAAAAGTGGTAGAAATTAACTCTCGAGTCTTTGGTACGAAGAGAGATACGCATTCCCAGATATCAATCGGAATATCCGGGCCTCTCTGTAAATGCTTGCGAAATCGCCCTCACCATGGTATGGTTCAAGTCTTGCCCATAGTGAGAAGTTGAAGTTTGTTGGACATATCGCATCTCAAATTATTCCAAGAGCCGAGTAGCACAAGTTCTGTACATATATTCCTACGGTTACCAAGGATTGGTCCCGACCTCCTATAGGAGGAGCATAGAAAGTGATGTCTAACTATAGGCCCTAGATAGATCTATACAAACCCGTTCACGTCCGTACTCTCTCTTTTATAATTACATCCTATTCCTTAATAGGGAGAATGGCTTCTAACTCTATTGATTTTCGAGACTGAATGGGATGTCGATCAGGGTGGGGTAGAGGGCAAGCAGTCGCTGACCGCCATGATATTCCTAGGTAAGAGTGCCGCTATCCTCCTCCATTCCTCTCACCTCACCGTTGTCTCCAACCTTATCCCCGCTGAGTTTGTCCCTATCCAAGTTCCTGTGGCTCTCCATATATCTAATCTGGAAGTGCCCTAGGATTACAAATTGGTCTTTCAGATCTTCAGACAACCTACTTCAATTGTATCCAACATGCCGTGGCGTCCAGACGAGCCCGTGGAACTTCCCAATGGCCGCCTAGTGTGTAGACAGCACAGACTCGTAATTTGCGGCTACTGCACTGTGGACTACAGCTTCATGGACGACGACGATGACGACGATGACGACGTAGAGACCTCAGACTCAAGCGACCACACGGACGGCTTCATCGCTATACCGAGAACAGGCTCAGAGCTCAGAGTCGGTACGGGGGGCGTCTTCCCCACGAAGTTCATGCCCCCAAATCCAAATGACACCCCGAAGTCGCTTTTCCCACTCACCAAAACCGAGAAAGCCTTGCCACCTGTATATCGGTTCATTCGCCGCAACAGCCAAAAAACCCAATTCCTGGTTTACACGGACGGCGCGTGCTTAGACAACGGTGGTGCGAACCCAAGAGCTGGTTGCTCCTTTGTTTACAGGAATTCTACGACGAACCCCCTACTCCATGGCTTTGTAAATTTCCCTCTCGAGAAAAGTGGACCCACTGGTATCGCGAACCTGCAAACAAGCAATCGGGCTGAGCTTCGCGCTGTCATTGCAGCTACGCGCTTCCGCTACTGGCCTGGGGAAGGATGTCGCTGTCTAGTCATCGCTACTGATTCCGAGTACGTGGTAGAGGGCATAACGAAGTGGGTGAAAAATTGGATACAGAAGGACTGGAAAACAAGTGGCGGAACGCCAGTCAAAAATAAGGACCTTTGGCAGTGTTTACTCGGGGAGGTGGAACGGTGGGATGAGAGAGGAATGCGTATTCGATTCTGGCGTATTCCAAGAGAATTGAATACAGAGGCGGACGAGCTTGCTAAATTAGCTGCTGATAAGGATGGCCCTCAGGAATTTGAGGATATCAAGGGCGTCCTTGTTTGAGGGCATACGAGCACAGAGTTGCTAAGTCTACTAGCCGGCAGGTTCAATGAGAAGTTGTTCTATCTGTACGTAGGAATTGGGCATGTTCCAGATCCATCTGGATTTTACTGTTGCATTCGATTAATCTCAATGTTATGGGTTTATTAACTGAAGCGTTTAGATCGTGTTGCCGATAGCGGTTGAATAAGCGGATATAGCCACCTGCAGGGCTGCAGTACTAGCCCAGGTCAGCTTAGGCTTCGATGACTCCTTTCTACGATATCAGCTGAGAGTGGTATTTTTGCAATATTTCCTATTCGAATAAACGTGGTCATTACAGAATAATATCAGGACACCCTTGCCCAAAACCAAAGCGCAAACCCACAAAGAAGCCCCCGAAAATAAATCATAAAAGTCAAAAAGAATTACTATACAGGCCAAACAACTCATGGCATCTGTTGTCTCTGGTCAAATAATCAAAGGAATCGCCTTTCTAGACGAGGTTGGTATAGTCTCATGCTAAATAAGACTGAGAGGGTCTTCGCGGGCTATGTAAAGCGCACTCGCCTGAAGCTTGACTGATATTGCTTCCCCGATACCAGCCCTGGTCAATCAGCCGTGTTTCCAGGTCTCGCCAGTAGCCAGATTTCCCCCCAGCGCCTGTTTTCAGATCGAGATCACCAAGACGGATCTCAACAGGTGATTTTTCGGCATGTGGGATCTGTGGATCGGTCAGTATTCAAATCTAGATCATGTTTCGCAACAGACAGGATCTTGATCTTGACTAGAACAACCCCTGATTTTGCAGCATGAACTCACCTTGATAAACATCGTACAGTCCCGCAGCGTCATCGCAAGCGACATCTCCCGGGACTGCGCCGCCGGACCCTGCAGCCCGACATCCCTTTCGGTCTTCTGCAGCGACTGCAGCCTCTGTAGCGTCGGGTTCCGATATAAAATGTGAGCTAGTCGCGATCTGTCCGTGCAGCCTTTGATAAACCCTGTCGCTCGCAGAACATTCTCATACTGCTCGGACACCAGATCCAGCGGACAGAAGGACCGCTGCTCTTTCAGGCCTAGGGGTTGCGACTCGGGGTTTTTCATCTCCCTCAGCGCACAAGTCCGGCACCTATGCGCTGTGGTAGGCGCTGATGGCGATTGATTGAGCCATTTGGGTTTCAGCTCGGCTAAGCTGGCGCCCGGGTCTCCGGTCGTTGTCATGTCGGTGATGAGGAGACCGAATCGCTCATGTAGACAGAGATAGCTGCCATGGCGTTTCTTCGGACGCGTACCGTTTAATTCGGCGATCTGAAGTTGCGAGTTGCAGCTGGAGAGGAGACCCTCTGGGAGTCTAATGAGGGTTTGGTCGACTAGTTCTTCTGGATTGAATAATGGTCGGATGATAGTGTCAAAGTTTCGGGCAATCTCTTTGTAGGAGATGTCGGCTGCAGTCTCTTTGCGGAGTCGGAGCAATTTTCCCTTGAGTTGGGCTGGTAGGTTGCAATGATCCTCGAATGCAGGTGGAGATAGTGGCCCTTTTGAGTCTTTTTTAACGAGTACTGGATTTCCAACAAATCGGTAAATCACATTTGCTCCTCCCTCGGCGAGGTAAACGAGCCGAACTCCCGAGGGGAGTTCAAGGAGATTGGGTTTGGTCATCCGTTAGAAGGATGGGCGTTGGGCTGGAAATCCTCTGCGATCATGACGTGGCTGATAGTAGACAAATCGATTTGGATCGATTTAGTTAACTCCACCACCGATGACAATGCGTTGAATAGAATCCAAGATCGAGAGGTTGAAAATGTGAAACAATGCTCTTCAATGGATTATGCAGATGTATCCAGTGGCGAGAGGCTCAAAGTGGTCCAAAGGGGTTAAACCGAGTTTAGTCGGATCTCACTTCCAGGCTGGGGTGTCCAATCAGGTTCGAAAGCGAAATTCCACTGGCACGTCTAAGACATTCACGAACAGAAAGGAGTAGGATTCGAGAAAAAAACGGAGATTCCGGACAAAGAAGCCCGACATTGACTGAAAACCCCCGGGGCAAGGGTTTAGTTGTGGGGACTCAATAAGAGTGCGAGTGGCGTAACCCCTAGAGTCGATCATAGCAAAGGAGATAAAGGGTCTAGGACGTTCGTGACATCATGAAATCAAGGAACCTGAAATCATGAAATGGAAGATCTCCATGAAGTTGTAGAATTGGAAATCCCCAGATTCAGAGAAGAAAATCCGATGAAGCTGTATTTAAAGACAATGGCGGTCAGGAAATCAGATATCTTGAATTGTAGAGATGCAGCGAGTGAGACTGTGCAGGAGCCTTGGAAAGAGGCTCGAGGGTCTGTCAATATCAGTTGGGATGTGAATCTGCAAATGTCTGCTAGAGGAAATATGTCAAGATGAGTGAAAAATGTCGTAAATGTCGGAAATGGAAGTTCAACCCTCTAATATGGCGTGTCACTGACCACATCCTCATCATTTCCCCGGGTTATATGTTATACTCTCCTCATCTCTCCTCCTCATCGCTCCATCTAATCTCCCTCCTACATCACCCCAATATCCTTTTACCCCGCCATTTCACCATCAACATCCAACATGGCCACTATCGCAACCCCCGCCCACTGTATTGCCGACTTCTGTCTGGTCCCTGTAAGGAAGTCACATGCTGCCATTCACCTCCCCCAACTAACAGCATAACCCCAGATGGGCACCTCCACGCCCTCAGTCTCAGACCAAGTCGCTGACGTCCATCGGATGATTGAAACATGCGGCTTGAAATATGTCATGCATTCCGCAGGTACAACCCTCGGTACGTATGGAGTACATGTCTCGAGGCTATAATACGTACTACACTATGTATTACTATAGTATTGTAGTACTACCTCGGCCACTCCGGCCACACTCGGTTCCTCTTTGTGTGGAACCTGCTCCTCTCATCTCCAACTGTGGGCTGATCTGTCTCTGCGGCTGAAACTAAAATCACCGGAGAAAGAGAGAGCTGAGAGCTGACAGGCCTGTGTGACACTATTCCTATACTTACTGACGTTCCTGGTTTTGTAGAAGGACCTTGGGACCGAGTTTCTCAAGTTATCGGACAGGCGCATACGATTCTTCATCAGAAGGGAATTGTTCGGATTCATACTGACATTCGTGTTGGGTCGAGGTGCGTTCATCTGTTTTATGCCTCCATTTCTCATTGCTGATTGTCTTTATTAGGACCGATAAAGTGCAGTCGTTTGAGGACAAGGTGACCAAGGTGCAGCAGTTATTGAAAAAATAGAGTAGGAGTTCAACTCCGAAAGGCAATACAGGCAATTGACTTTGAATCATCTCATTCGTTAAACTATATGACTAGACTAGATATTCTGAGCTTGGGGGAAATGCTGAAACCTGCCATCACATCCCAATTCATCCCAATTCCAACCCAAAACGCCTTGCCCTTGAACGGAAGTGTCCTATATCCGCGTGCACCGTCCAGTTGGGCACAGCCCCATCGCAGGACTCAAAATATCCAAGAAAATACATCCGAACGCTTCAAATGTAAAAAGCAAAACAACAGAAACCGAGGTCAAATCACTCAGCTCAGAAGGAAATCCCCCCACCGAGAAGATTCCCCCAGTTCCCACCAGTCCAAATCCAATTCCCCATAGACACCGACGTGCCCGACTTCGCCGATTCCGCAAGCTTAACCAGCGCCTTGAACACATTACTAGTAGACGAGGCATCACTGGTCGAATCCGCCGACGTCGAGACAGAAGTGCGGCCAACCGCATTGGTGACATTATTCAAGGTATCGACGGTATCGATCGCAGGACCACGGTTGAAGAAGTCCACCAAGATATAGGTCGGCTGTCGCCCACTCCACGCCTCCTTGCAAGTCGTCGCCGCAGTGCCCAGGTTGCCCGTCCCGCCGGACGCGGCGTTCGTCGTGGCCACATAGCTGGAATTCGGGTACTCAACGTCCAGAATCGCGAGGCTGCTCGAGTACAGAAAGTGGTTCATCAACGGGAGGAAATTGGCTGCTAGTGCCGATGCGCTGTTGTCTTTGTATGCCGACGGTCGGTCCACCTCGCATGAGAAGTTCGACGCGGAGGATACGTCGTATGGATTCTCCCAGATGTAGCTCCATTCATCCATCAGGTAGGGGTAGGTGGTGCTGGTGTCCAGGGAGGCCACGAAGACGACGAGGCGCTTGCCGTCGTCGATCATGGTTTGGAGAGTTGGCCAGGTGGTCGGGGCGGTGCCTGGGGATGTCGGCTCGTAAGCGTAGTCGGTGATATTGGCTGTTGTGAATTGGGTGTTGAGCTCGGAGGCTGTGGCGTCGTCGGAGTTCACTAGGAGGATTGTGACCACTGTTTGGATGTTAGTTTCCTTTCTAGACGTCGTCGCGGAACTGACTCACCCTCGTTTGGATTATCATCCAACCACGTCTTGATGTCTTTCAGCCAGTCGCTCAGCAACCCTGCATCGAGCAGGTCGCAGCTGGAATGACATAGGCGCCATTGTGAGTTGCTCTTGTGGACTTGCGCTGTTACTAAACGGACACCCGCCGATAGTTGCGTTGGAGTGTCGTAGTACTGGTTGGCAGCGAGCGAGTTGCCAGTATCGGAGTCACGCACAAAGGGACTATCGTGGGCGCCCAAATGTGTAATTTCTCCATAGGTCTTGGAGCAGAGATCAGGAGAGTTGTTGCATGCTGTCATGCGCTTCGTCTGGATCAAAGGGTTCGCAAGGACCATAGGCAGGAATGCCAGAAAGTTGGATACTCGCATAACTGTACACAAATGATGTATTAGATGTAACAATATACTTAAAGACTTAGAAAGATCAAATAGAAATAAGAAATAGAAACACAAAACAAACAGGAAGGAGACACAAGACCTCAAATAAACAAAATGTCTACAAGGCCGCGTTGCCCTCTCAACTATTCTTAGATCGGTGGAGCAGCAACTGCACTGCCATTGGGCCATTTACACCAATCGACCTCCTTTATTTGTGACATAGCCCAGTCGTCTAGGCATAAC